TTTGTAGTTGAAGTGAAACACAGACTGATGGCTCACTGTCCCTGTGGTGGTTGTGATTCAAAGCAGTTAATACCAGCTGTCTCAGCTGACCAACACATTCTTCACTGTCTGATTCATCACAATCAGAAAATGTATTAGGCTTCGTCCAGCACATGCACTACTTCCCAATAGCAGATGTCTATTCAGACTGTGAGATTTATTCCATCTGCCATTTTAAACGAGTGTAATGGAGTGATTAATGATTTTTTTTAAGCTTGTGGTTTTATGAATCAGACATTTTTAGGCCATTTTACTTTAGAAAACCAATTTATAAGACCATGTGTATGGGAATGGCTACAGTGCACATAATACATGTCAAATTTTGAATGTTCATTTTCTCCCCTCGCCTTCTTTCTTTTATTATAAGCTCATTTTTCATCAAATGATCTGGTTTGCTACAGACAGTACTGTTTGTCATGCTGTGGTGTGTCCCAGCAATAAAGCAGATTGCGATCTATAGGGTGCTTCAGTCACCTGCTTGCAGATGCTACACATTTGCATCGCATACATCAAACTCAACAATCCAGGAAAACAATTCTGATACAATTTAATCCCCATGATAGTTTTTTGTTAAAAATATAGTAACAGATGGAGCACAAACTAAATGTCCCTTTCCTACTCCTGCAAGAAGAAATGTATACTGAATGATTTTTGCAGATGCCGGTTGCTGAACTCTGTCTGTATATCCCAGGAAAAAAAAAAAACAACTTAAATTTAACTTTAGTATGACTTCTAAAAATTGAAAGCAATGGATTTGAAAAAAAATGACATAGTGAAGATGATGTTAACCGTGCTTATTGATAATCTCTTTGGATCTCTCTGAATTGAACTCGTATTGATCTCTCAAGCTCATATGTTTTATGCAGTTCAGACTTCAGACGCACCAAAAAGATGAGAACGTTCTCAGCAACTTATGTTTTTTGATCTACAACATAAAAAGCTCTATAGCTGAGAAAGAATTCCTCCGAGCACCAAGGAGAAACTTCTCACATTATATTATGTGGAAAACAGCACAGGATTTGGCTAAAAACCATCGTCTCTAAACAAAATAAAAAGATGATGTGTGAAATTAGAGCTATACGTTTCATTTACGACTTCACAGCAGTAGGTGACCTCTCTCTGACCTTTTCCTTGTCGCATCTGTGATTCAGTATGGCTACAACAGATGTAAGTGATGTAGAGTGACAGTTATCGGCCTGGACACATAACGCATTAAGGGCAAAAAGGTCACTGGCATCTAGAGAAGCAACGTCTGCACTATGTAGCCTGAAGGAGGGGCTGCAACTGATATAAGTATGATGCCTTAAAATCTGGTAGAGAATAACGTTAACTGTATTTTTAACTGGAAGCAAAAACAGAAATACCTTCTGACTTAAAACTTAACCCATTAAGACCTGAGAAAAAGGTAAGCTTTTTCCAAGCTTACCTGATATTTGCAGTTTCTGTTACACCTGAATTTTCCACTTACGTGACAAAAGGCTGTTTCTATTCTATTAAATTTCATGTTTTTTCTGATGAGGTCAAACAAATGCAAAGGCATAATTGAGTGCTTAGGCCATAATCTATTTATCAGGCAAGTCAAAAATTTAGGTACAAATCACAAGGGGAAGCGGGGAACTGCAGGATGGATGCAAACCTATTAAACATTAAGACAATGACACTCAAAGGACGGCAGACTTTTCATGATGTTCCAATCCAATCTAAGGCTGAAGATCACTACAGAACGTTTTACACCTCATTTATTTTATAGGCTTTTACTGCATAGGACTGGGATTATTGTATTGGTACCACTGATGAATGGCACGAATGGACTGCAAACATTAATGGGCCCCAATAAGTGTAATCTGTTTTTTTTTTTTTTTTGCGATATATTGAACTGAGAACACAAATGGATATTAAACAAATCTTTATGGTGTATGCTAATGATGTAAAATATACAAGTAATTATGTCTGCTTTTCCCAGACAGTAAAAGCAGTGCAGAGTAACTGTGAGAGCTTCAGTCCTCAGTGGACACAGCCCTGGACGTTCAAGGAAGTACTGCTCACTTTTCTCCCCAATCTCAACTCATAAAGTGTAATTACCTCTCTTTAGTTTTTATAATTATTCATGCTGGTGCAATAATTAAGAATAGTTCAGTGGGACACTCTCAGCTCTGTTCTCCCTTTATCACACTTTATTCCATGTTGAAATGGTCCTGGAAATCTTGCACTGAAGGCTTTCCTTTACTGTGTAATTTTAGAGGCTGCTGCATTTTTTTAAACACCTTGGATGTGAACGTTAACCTACATAGTCTCCTTTCTTCATAATTAGTTTTGCTACTGTTCACTTTTATCCGCATGTCTGATATAAGACCTAAAAGCTTTGCTTGGGGCTGAGCAAAGGAGTTCTAAGGTGTCCACTCACAATTTAAATAATAAATGACATTTAAACTTAAAGGACATCAGAATTTCAAGATTACTAAATGTTTGATAGCCATTCAACTTTTGAGAAAATAATCTACTGTTAACATTTAGACTTTAAATCTGACCGATAAATACATTCAAAACGAGAAGAAAATGTGTTTTGTTTGGCTTAAGTTATCAGTGTATATATTCTACCTTTTCTACTTATTACAGTTTTCTCCAACAAGTCGCATAAGATGTGGCTCATTAATCAAAACTTACTTAAATGTACAAACGCACATGTTTTCAATAAAATCTTGAAAGTCATTACAATCCACTATAGATTTTTGTTGTTTTACTTTTTGGGAAGAGGGCATGGAGCCTAAATGTCTGCCTTTGACTCATCAGTACGGTCAGAACTTGGAAAAAAAAAACTTTTTCTTACTTTCCTCCATCAATATGGAACTTTGCCGCAGGATCTGAAGCTTTCCACTTTGATTCCTTTTGGATGATTCAATTTCAACCCTCTTATGAAACTTGCTCTTGAGTTTAGCTTTATTAATTGAGTAAAATTTGTTAATCGCTTGTTTTGTTGCTGTGTTTGTAATTTTGTTGGTTTTAATCAAAACAGGTTTGTCTTGAAAATGAAATCTTGGATCTCAATGACTCAGCCTGTAAAGTCAAAAGTCAAATAAAAAAATAAAAGTAGGCACCATTCCAATCTGTTAGGATATTAAGGGTTTTGAAATCTCATAGATGACATATAAAATATCTGCATCAAAGTGCATTATGTCCAACACGCGTGGAGATAATCATTGCTTAGTTTCAAGTCACTGAATCAGTTTTCTTTAGAGTACCAGACGCTATAAGACATAGCAATGGCCACCTGCTCAGTAACTAGGAATTACATCCACTGATATCTAAATGTTTTGAAATGTGGCTTCTTGTCTGAACTCTCTTTGCAAATTACATTCAGTCTCCTGAAAGCTTCAAAATGATTAGATTGAGCATGCAAATGTAAAATACCACAGGAACATACGGCCTCGGTAAACCTACATGCCAGTGTGTGTGCGTGTGCGTATGTGTGCATTTTTCTTCAATCATTCATCCTATCTACTTCAAACTTGGCAGGTGTTTTGTTTAGACCTGAGGAAGTGCAGTGGTGACTCCAAAGCTGCGTGAGATGTTCAAATATTTTGGCTTCGAGTTGTTTTCTGGCACACTTTCTCAGACACCACTTCCTTGCCTGAGAAATAGCTTCATAGTGCTTGTGATCTCTCCCATAATCAGAAAAATCTTAACCTGAAGGAGAAACATTTCAGTAAAATTCAAGTTGCAATAAGTCACCAATGCAAATTTTGGTTCCTAATGTCGTTTTGGATATTTCTGTTAAAGCCTGAAGAAAATTGCCACATTTTTGAAGAGAAGTCACACAAAATCTGCAATTTCTTCATTTTTTCTTGAACATTTCTATCTCACCACCCTGTTACACCATAGAAAAGTTTAACTATTGATTGTCACTGAAGTTAGTATGCGAGTGGGAGTGAAAGGACGAATGAGCATCGGAGTCAGACAGGGGTGGAATGAGAAGAGCAGGCAGAAAGATGCAAGAGACACAGCTAATGGGAAACAGCAGCGCAAGCGCCTGCTGCTCAGAACTCAGTCCATTGAAAAAGATATATTGTTCTCGCAGAGGAAAGCTGCAGGATGCCTGCCTTGTTAGCCAGACTGGCAGCAGGCTGCATCCCAGCAGCCTCTATTGCATATTCATTCAGTCTGATTAATAGATCTAGATTCTGGGGGTGTTGTGTTTCTCTATATGTTCTTAGTCTTTCTTAATTCTCCACAGAGAGAAAGGGATGTGCATCTGGTTTATTCAATGAGCCAGGAGGGGAGCTAAACTCGCATTCTACACTTGCAGCTAATCACAAAATCAATGTTTTTCTCTCCCTCTGCTCACTTGCTTCAAGAGCATTCTGCAATTCAAATTGAGATCATTTATAATTCTAATATCGTTACAGCTTGGATTGTTTTCCTTCTATACACAACTTTAAATCTTGCGACAGCAAGTTGCTCTCTGCTTCCGGCTCCAAATCAATGTGAATGTTTTATTCGCACCACACTTTGATTATTTGTAACGACAGCCCATGGTTTTCTTTTGGATAACATTTCCACATCAGCTAACAATGAAAAAAGCCCTAACACATTTTAACAACCTGAAGTTTGGGGGATAACAGAATGAAATAGGCCTCCAAATAGGTTACTTATTTGATTTAAATATTTTTCAGAAATCTTGCTGGAATTATTTTCACGGAGAAGCTTGCATTTACCCGCACTACTACATCCATGACATCATTCCCAGGAAAAAAAAAAAAAAAAGAGAGAACATTTAGTCACAGACGAATGAGCCAGAATAACAAATCCATTCTCAAAACAATAAGTCTGCAGTGTCTTTGTATATGAGGCCCCGCAACATCTCCAGTCACAACAAGCACCAAGGGTTTTAAATTATTCTTAGAATTTTTTATTTATTTATTTTCAAATACGAAGCTTACAAACAGCTTAAAACTCTTTATGCTAAACCAAAGCATCAACTCTAATTAATGAAATCAAGCTCTTCGGTTGGGGAGGACCCAGGCCAGACAGACTCCTTAAGGTAACAAACTCTTCTCAGTTCATCTCTTAGCTCCAGTAGCAACAGTTGACCTTTAGACACAGAGCTCCTTTCTTTGACGTCTTGTCCCAGCTGTGATATCGCCAGCAACATCTAATTAGTCTTAAAAAGCTGTTTTATCACAGATGTGCCCTTAGTTTCCCCAACACTGTCTGTAACCTTTCATATTCTCCTGTGTTCCTCAAAGTCTGTTGTTTGTGTCTCAGGAAACATGTTGCCCAAGTGACCCTGTGACACACACAAAGAGTCTTCTGGGCATCCAACCAAGTCTCCGTGTGTTTTGCCTCTGTGGATCACCAGGTGTGCTCCTGGTCTCTGAGGATCTGCCAAGGTTTTGCTTTAGTCAAAGAGTAAGCGGGAGCAACTATGAATTTAAAAGCCAGAAATAATTTTTTGTAACAGTGCCCAGCATAACTTGGCACATCCACAAACTACAGGGCGCTTGCCGGGTTCCGCAACAGGAACTTGAATGTTGCAGATGTGTCAGAAAGGCTGAATCTGGTGGGTCTCATCCTGCGACTCTGACAGTCTTTTGGGCTTTGTACTTCATAAGCATCAGCACTTTTAAAACAGAAATATTTAAGCCTTTCCTTTGAGACTCCCCACAGTGGCAACATAGTGGGTACATTTGCTCTTCCACTAAGCGCCAGTTTTCCATTTGTAAAGGTAAACAATTGCTGTGCAACAGTAGGGGCTTGCAGGGAGAAAATAAAATGAAGGAAATAAATGCAGTACGAAAGGATAAGCCACAAAGAGAACGAACACATAAGAGAGAGAAGAACAGGACACAGGATGAGTGACAAAACCTTATTGGATTTATTTGTCTTGCTCGATTTCTCAGATGAATCTCATTTATTATGGCTGACAGCGAGGGGAGCATGCATCAAACAAGAACACAGTAGAGGCAATCGTCTTTTTCTTCATAATGAACAAGATACAGATCCTCGAGTCTTGTAGTAAAAGCCAGAAAGATTGCATACATAACAATAAAGTTGTATTGCAATAAAACATAAATGCCCATCGAAAAAAAATCTCAAAACTTTTCATGCTCACATTTCCTTTGTGGAAGTAACGTAAGCCACAGCCTGGAGCAATGCATTTTCAGAACACTAACTCAGTTAATGAAACTTAATTAAAGAGCTACATCAAACATCTGTCAATGAACTGATGCAGAGAACACAATGTAGATTTTTTAACACTTTTTAGCACTGGCATACTGTTTGCTATCTTTTTCAAAGTTATTAAAGGGGCTCCATAATGCAAAATTTATATTTTGCGTTATAGGTTCCATCTACTCTTAACCAGTAATGTCAGCATGTGTTACTTATTGTTCTTTTAAATTCTTTTTGTAAGGTCTTACTTTTTACTAGCTCATTTCTCAAATGATGATACTTCACAAGCATTTCACAAAATTACAGAGCTGGCTAGAGATAATTTCATAGAACTCAAGGACTTTCCAACACTGTTTCATAAGGTTTGATGAAAAACAATGGCATGTTTTAAATAAAATAAATAAAACCATTCCAGCCACTTCAATCAGAAGGTAAATGAAAATGTCCTTCCCTAAATTCCTTTGAAACATTTGTGAGAAAAAAAGACATAATGTTCCTAACAGCAACCAGATACTCAATTGTTGGTAACAACACCTCTTTCAGCAAAGTCTCTTAAAATGAGACTATGAACCCAGAACTGCTGGCAATGAACCAGCATTTATTTTCTCCCATGCACTGTTGCAAAAGAAACAGACTGTCCTTCACGATTCAACGTGAATCAACATTCAGCAGAAGCAGGCAGCCAGCCTTTGGGTCTGCCAAGGAAAGCATAAACTTAATTAAGACCCATCTTACAAGGTGTGTGTGCGTAGGGAGGCCGGTAATGAAAGCCTAATGCAAGTCACAAATTGGTCCAACAAGCAGCTAAAACAGATGCCTGTGAAGAGTGCCGTATAGCCCCGCAGGGGAGAGTACGGGATTTCACTGCTAATATAAAGAGATAGCACATTAACCAAGTAGCATGCTCACAGACATCCTCTAAAGTACAATCCTGGGGTAAGTAGCGCACCAAAACAATAGCTTGTTTTTGGCATGCAAAACCAAATTGCAGACTTTATAGTTGGAGAATGATCACTCAATACATTACCACTGCCTCCCTAAAAAGGTTAGTGTGCTAATAGATTAAATGACCAAGAATTGCAAAATACTTACAGATACAGTCTCACAGAAAGGCTTAAAATCTTTACTTTAAAGCCCCATAGGTCAACATTACTAGCAGCTTGAGGACAAGGCCAATATAGAGTGTGAAAGTACAGGAAATAACAGTTCAACCCACAGTCGCCATGGAAACATCACGTCAACATTTGCTTCCTCACAGCACCCGACAACAAGCCCGGCAAATAATGAAGCTGATGTCAATTTTGATTGTATTACGTTTCAGGGGAATTCATCTACTAATAACAGTGAGGGATGTGGGTGTAAACAAGTTAATGCCAGATCCCAAGAATGTAGTCTTGCAACATTCAGTCACAAATACCAGTATCCAGGATTACAGCTCATGTTAGACACAAACTTACAACAAAGTACTGAGTAAATTAGAAAGGACAAACATCTAATTTGTAGACAAGCAAAAAACAATTCTCCAGTTCATTCATCTTTGCTTTTTTCTCCCTAAAATATTGCACCTATAAACACCAATTATGTTCTGAACTTTACCTTATAAGAAAAACAGACAAACTCAGAGGACATTAGAGTTCTCACAGCTTTCAGTTTTTCTGGCCCACTGGCTAAACTAAGCAACATGAGAAATTAAACAAACCTGTTCAGTACCAATCACAATATAACACAATAACTTAGTGTAGATCCACACCCCAAAGTATAGACAAGATGATTAAAAAAACATGCTCAGAGCATGTGTAACTGTCCATGCAAAGGCCAACAAAATATTCCTTACTTTCAATGGTTTGCATAAAGCATGTATATTTGTAGATTTTGCATTATGATTCCTGTAATACTATCTGAAGGCCAGCAAAATTTATACATTAAATTATATTCTAGCTCAGGACAATAACTGCAGTAAAACCCCTTTCACCTGTTTGACATTTAAACGGCAGACATTTGTTGTGCATTATATATAAAACAAAGGACTGCTAAGGCATTTTTGCTGTATAAAATAACTCTGTCTTAAATGTTAAGCTGCTTCACTTGCGTTACAGGAGTAGAAAAAACTAGTATGCAGTACTTTAGGTCTTAGCACTGTTGTTTTGGAAGAAAAATGCTGCAGAAATACCAACTTGATATGAAATTATGCATATTATAGTCATTAAAACAGCTATAACAATAACAGTTTGACAATGTCGAAAAGGAAGTTGTTAATTGTTGTATTTTCCATCTATCTATCCATCTGTCCATTTAGCAGATGAATCAGGGATTAAGACAGGAAAGTAGAATAAATAGACTAGAGAATGAGTAAGCAACAACAATATTCAGAATTTAACTTAATCCAGGCCAACACATCCCTTTTGTATTGTTTTTACACCAACAAGATTGTATAATATTTGTTTAACAAACAACTCGAAAGTCCTTTTATAAAAAAGGCATGCTGTGTAGAGCAGAGTTTTATCCAAAATTTGTTGCATTTCCAAGCATGTAAGGAGGTTTGAAATGTTGCTGGTTTTGTCATCATAATTAAATCTGATTATTGTCATGGTGTTTACAACCAAGTTAAAGCAATGAGAATTAAGTCTAAATTATTAAACAGTTTGACCCCTAAATAACAAAATACATTCAAGAAACAGCTACCATCACCACTATATGTAATTAAGTTGCATATAGTGGTAATATTTGGATCATGTTTGGACAAGTTTTCACTCACAGAGCTTGAAAATGATGAATTTACACAGAAGGGTGGTAAAGTCCAGTTCAACACTAAGAAGAGCTGGGAATCAACCCTTAAAACTTTAAGCGAGAAGACAACCACTTAACCTCTCAGCCACAGCTGCTCCACTAAGTCATTTTGATTAACAAGCACAGTGTCACATCTTTATGGAGAGCCCTGGGTGAGCTTGTCAGGGAGGTTCAATTTGTTGGAGCAAAGTTTATTGATGTCCTCTAAAATAGAATTAACTATTTCTTTGACTTTTTTGTCCAACAGATTTCTGTTGGTTTAAAGCTTGTGTGCTCATGTTAGATTTCATGGCCGATCTACCGATCTATGACATTATGAGAATTTAAGAACTAATGAGTCTTACTGACATATCTTGTGATATTACATATGTTTAGGAGATATGTCTTGTTCTGGACATAACCTAAATAAGTTGTGTTTTATTTTGGCACATGTTTGTTTTGAGTATTAAAACCAATGTTCTTCAAAACAATCACAACTTCCTTAGGAATTAAATAGAGCATTAGAAAATAAAATGACTAAAAGATGAGATGATGTCAATCGTGAATTATGTCAAAGCAAGTATGTGAATATAGTGGCACAACATTTGTCGCAGACTGTAATGCATTGGACCGTAACATTTACATAACAGTGATTATACTTTATAGATAACATTGTTGTAAGTATTATAATAAATCTAGTATGCTGTTTGTAAAACAATTTCTTGTTAATAATGTGGTACCATGAAACCATAGCAATATTAGTCAAGGTCATGCCACCACGAGATTCTCATACTTCTCCTGCCTGCTTGAATTTAATAAAAGGATCTTATCGTAAGCAAACCACATCTGTGGCCAAATTTTTAATTATTAGTGGCTTCCTAACCACTAATTTCTTCTCAAATATAGTTTCACTTCTCTTTTTTTTCTTTTTTTTTTTTTTGCAGCAAACACTGTCAGCCTAAATTTAAAATGCTCTTATAAGTGTGATAAGGCTGTGGTTTCCATGGCAACAGCACACTCCTTCAGATGTGGAACGGAAGAAAGGGAGACATCCCAGTGCGTGATTGTAGCCTCTTATGGTAAATGTAGTGCATCTGATTTAGAGGTTTAATAATAATCAGGCGTTGATTATGGTGCGTGTGCATAATGAAAAGAGGGAATATTAAATAAATCTCTGCTTGAAAGGTTCAATAAACTAGTGCTTTAGTAATGGTGATGAACTACGCAAGTGGATTTCCTGTAACAAATCTGTCCCAATTATCATTGCATTTTTCTTGTGAGACATTTCTATGCATGTGTACATCAAATTGAAGAAACCACGAGTTTCTTCAAAACTAGTTTTCTGTAACAAAACAAAATAAGGAAGCTGAGTGGCTATGTTTTGGTATGCAGCTGAGTGGTCAGCATTAGCAGCAAACAGGGTTGCAGCTTTCTCCATTTCATAAATATTACAAGAAGTGTTTCAGCTTTTTTTTTTTTACCCAACAGAATAAATTCATGGCTATCCTGTGTCCAATCTAACCAGGGTCAACAAATGAGTTTGATTTCTGCAAGACAGACAAGAAATCTTAACTCTCAAAAACAATGTTTAAAAATAACCAGCTACATTGCAGGTGCAACAGCTAATAACAGAAAAGTGAAGTACTTCCAAGGTTATTGTTTGCTGAGCGGCTAATAAAGCCCATTAAGGTACCACTGTTTTGGCAGGAGCTGTGAGTTAAGGCCAAGCAACAAACACTGCAGAAAAAGGTTGTTTGTAACCTGATGCTGGTTGCCTTTTCATCTCAGCTGAAAGAGAGCACATCTTTCTGTCCATCCTTCCTGTCAAGCAGCAAGAAGTCTAATTAGGTAGATGACTCACTGGCACAGTCCTTTGCGTACTATAATGAAGCCAAAAATCTAGAGCTCTTTAGCGCTGGAACAACACAGGCTGCAAGTTATTAACACCTCCTCGTATAAGAGCTCAATCAATTAAAAACAAGATATAAAAAAAGAAAGAAAAAAATATGTGAGCTTCAGGCCTAATTGAGCAGGTAGGTGACAAACAGACATTTAATGCCCTCATATGATGAGCTAGAGGTGAAGAGGAGATATCTTGTGAAGTGTCAGTAGGCTCCTATCAGGGCTGATTAGATTGAAAGCCAAAGGCT